CAGATGTGCTTCCAGCTGCAGCTGCTGCTGTTTTCTCCTTCTTGCTGTTTTCCCTGTCATTGTTCTGTGCTCAGCCCCTCTGTCCCTGCCCTTTTCCCTGGGACACAAAACTGCTCGTGTTGGTGCTGCTGTGTGTCAGCACTCTCCCCTGAAACCTTTGTCAGGGCTTTTAAAAACCTGCTCTGGTGGAGCTGTGCCTCTAGAACCCTGCAAAACAGATTCCCTTGCTTGTTTTTCTTCCATTGTGTCTCTTCCAAGATGAAATTCTGGGAGTTGTTTGCAGAGTAGCATTTATGTCATTGCTTACTGTGCTTTCAGGGCACTTAAAACCTCCTAGATTTAGGCAGAAAATGCATCATTTCTCTGAGTGCTGTCAGTGAGGCTGTTGAAAATGAAGTTTAATGGGTATTAAAGGAGCTGAATGCACTAGGAATTGTCCTGGAATTGTTCAGTGATTTTCACCTGTCACCCAGGAACAGTCTTTGAATTTTCCAGGATGTGCTTGGGGATGTATGAACAGGAGGAGAGAACAATCCTGCTCAGCATTCCCAAAATCTTCAACACCCATCCCTGGGAGTGTCCAAGGCCAGGTTGGATGGTGAAGGTGTCCCTGCCCATGGCAGGATGAGCACTGAGGTCCTTCCAACCCAAACCATTCTGGAATTTTAAGTGAGTTAAAATCACTTTTCACCAAAATCCGTGGAGCTGATGGTGGCCAAAGGCTTCTCATTGACTCGTGGCTTGGTGGAAACCTGAATTAGGATGAGATTTTAAAAAGCCAGAGTTTGGGGTTTTTATTGGGGGGACTTTGAGATAACTTTTGGTTTTCCTCTTCTCCTCCTAAATGTGTCAAAAGGACCAATGATCAGCCCTGGACTGTTTCTCCTCCTGAATTTGGCATGATCACTTGTGTTGGCTGCTTTTCTTTGAAATTTATCATTCATTCCGAGGGTTTTTCTGCAACAAGCAACATCTTATTTAAATGAAACTAATAAAGCACTGAAGCAGCTTCTATTGCAACTGTTCATCTCCTAATTAAAGATTAGTTCTGTCAAGCAAGCAGTTTTTGGCTGTTCTCTCCTGCATGGGTTTCACAACATTTCTTACTCATCTGGGCACAAGTTGGAGTCATTTCTCCTTGCACAGTGCAAACACACACAAACTTCATTTCAGGCATGTGAGCAGTCCTGGAACTAAAGTTAGGCACATGAATAAATATTTCCAAGGTTGAGGCCCTTGTCTGAATCTAAATATTTTTCTCTTTGATCAGCTTTGGAGATAGGAGTTACTTGAATTCTGGTAATATTTTAGTAGTGGAGGGGAAAAAAAAACAAAAACCAACAAAACAACAGCGTGGTTATCTGGATGCTGTGCTATTTATGGTCAGCTATATTTTCAACCTCCTGGGCTGGAATGGAATGCTTTGTACTGCTGGAAGCTGGGAATCCTCCCTGCTCTTGTGTTTTTTGACACATTAAGTCTTCAAATTACCTTTTTCTGCTTGGCTTTCAGGTGGTTATAGGCAGTGGTGGTGCATATGTGTGAGCTAACCTGAAATACAATGTTTAATCCACGTTGTTACTACTTGTAGGTGTATTTTCCTCACTTAAACAGATTTTCCTAATGCAGCATGACTAAGAAGACACACTTTCAGTCATTTGATGCATTTAAATGACTCAAATTATTCGGACCCAGCGTTTTAAAAACAAAATCTGACTTGGCTTTTAATTGGTGCTGGTATTTGGGAGAGTGGAACAACTCGTTTGAAAATGTGCTGATGTTCATCAGTTATCAGACAAAATGTCTACAGGGGTTTTATCGTGGAGCCTAAACTTGCCAGCTCCATTTGGAATTAAGGCTCCAGCTGTTCACCACACCCTGCTCTGCCTTCTTGCTGCTGTTTACAGTAGGAGGTGAAATATATTTTAATTTGAATTATGTTGTGCTGGGTGCTGTAAGACAGTTGAGGGGATTTTCAGGGCTGCTTTCAAATATAATATTATTTCCAAGTGAAGATCAGTTGCATTCAAACACTGATAAACTCATGGGAGCTCCTTTGTGATCTTTGATTGGGTTTTATCCATTTTTACTCTGCTTCCTGCTGTGGTGACACAGGGTTTGGGAAATGAGGAATGTCTTCCAGGTGGTATTCAGGCAGGAAAATGGGAAAAGGCAGGAATGTGGTACTGAATGCTGCCAGTGGTGTAGCCTCAGCTCAGCTGACTCTTCCACCTAAAATTTCTGTGATTTCATAACTCAGTGCCCAGGGATTATTTCAGATCCAGGAGGGGAGGTTTTTTGGAGGCTGCAGAGTTTCACCTTCAGCCTGGCTGGACAAAGCTCATGTCTTTACTACGTCATTGATTTTAGGGGATACCTGTGAGGCAAAGGAAAGGCAGGAGAGGGTGTGGAATGATGGTTGTGCAGCACCCAGAGACTTTGCTGGGATGATCTGCTGCCCCCATCCCTGCTCCCAACCTGTCCCTGCTCCCCAAACCCATCCCTGCTCCCCAAACCCATCCCTGCCTCCATCCCTGCTCCCCAAATCCATCCCTGCTCCCCAAACCCATCCCTGCCTCCCTCCCTGCTTGCTTGGCACAAGAAGGAGCCTCAGGAAGCTGCTGGGTTCAAGGGGCTCCAGCCCTTCCTGGGGACACAGCCCTGGCCTGGGTCTCTCCCCAGGGATGAGGATTCTCCAGATGTGCAGCTGGATCTGACCCCTTGTCCCATCCAGCTGTGAGCACAGCTATGGGTTAGGAGCAGGGGAATTTTATATTCACCAGTAATGTCAAAGCTCAGAAAAAATTCCAGTGTTTTCAGCTCTGCTTTATTTACAAAAACTTTAAAGTTCCTTCCTGAAGAATTCATCACCAGCCAGATGATAAGCAGAAAGGTTTTACACAACTTCTGGACCTGGAAAATGGGACATTTGTGTTTCACAGATAATAAAGAGCTCAGAACCAGCCCAAAAGGTACAGCAGGGAACTCACTTGGTGTTTTCCACAAACTCTGCCTGTTGCTGCAGGAGCAGAGCCTGCAGCTCTGAGTTCTGATAAGAACCTCTGTAGGATAAAGTTTGTCACTAAAATGCTTCATTAAAATACTTACCAGTGGTGTTAAGGTTTTTTTTATGCAGCTCAAAAGTTCAGATGCATCAGATTTAAAAAAATGGGGTGTAATTCATCCTAAGCATCATTTCCTGTCTTTCCCTGGATTCTTTTTTTCTTTTCTCTTTTCTCCTTTTCAGTGAAACACTTGATTGCTGCATCTTTTGGCTGCTCAGGGTTGAGGCAGGGTGAGGTTGGCCTGAGATGACTTTTGTTTGCTTTCCTTTGGGATTCAAGCTGTCTGTCCCTCACCCCCTTCCCTGGCTGAAATTGTACAGGGGACGATGGCACGCTAAAGAGATTGGCTTTGCAGGTAGAGCAGAACGAGGAGAGGATGTTTCTTATTTGAATCACAGATTTTTAAGATAAAATAGAGCTTCTGGGGGCAGGAGGAAGGAGGACTGCCACCTCTTGCCTTCAATTAATTAACTTTTTGCTGTTTATGCAATCACAGACCCTGTCTACTCCCTTAATTTGAAAGCTGCTCTTGTAGTTCAGCTCAACTGAGCGCTGTTATCTGAAAGACGGCGAGTGTCTTGCCGTGGATAATTATTTTCAGGAACAGGCGGACAACATTTTAATTTCCCTTGCTAATGTGTCATCAGCTGCTGGTCGTGGAGCTCCACATCAGTGCGTGTTTGCACAGGGGACTGGCGTGTGGCAGCTGGCCACTTTTGGGTGTAGCCACACTCGAGGGCTTGGGCTGGCTCTGTGCTTTCAGGTGCTGGGGAAGGAGTTCCTGGAGTTCAGGAGGAGAGGGGAGGAGGTGACAGGGGAGGAGGTGACACGAGGAACAGGTTTTTTTTGGGGGGGGTTTATTTTTGTGCTGCCCGTTAGGGAATCTTGGTCTGGATCACTCTGGGAGAAGAGTTTGGTTCTGCGTGTTGGGGTGGGACCATGGAAATGTCACATGCAGGGATGTGACCAAAAAAAAACCAAAAAACTCCCTGGGCAGAGTCTAAAAAGCCTTTCCATGGAGAAATTCCTGCTGCTGCCAGCCTGAGGCTGTTCTTCTCCTCCTCTCACTCATTTGGGAGGAAATCCCAAATCCCCCTTGGCTCCAGCCCCTTCCACCTGTCCTGACTTTGGAGCTGCTCCTTGTCCCTCCCCTTTGTCCTTTTCTAATCCACACTTGGGGACTGTTGCTCATCAACAAATGGCTGTGTTTAAACTAAAACCATAAAAAAGAAATGGTCATTTATTCCCCTGGTGGTGTTCAAATTGTGTGGGCTTGAATTTCTTCCCTCTAATCCCTCGCCCCAGCACTTGTTGAAAAATGTATATAAATAGGAGAAAATGCATTAAAAAGAACTATTTTATAGATAGAGGGGGAATTCTCAGCTATAAACCGTCTGTAGAGTCTTCATTTAGAACAAAAAGTGATTTAAGTTACCTGTTCTTGCCTAAATGTGAGTTTGGCCTTCCAGCTGAAGGATCTAAAACATAACTGGAATAAGAATGGAGCTGAAATTTCAAATCTGAGAAGGAAATAATTGTGGTTTTTATCAGAGTAAAAGTTTTGGTGGCTCGAGCTGGATGGAACCCACCTTGTTCTGTCAGGAATTCAAGGAAAAAAATCCTGGATTCATAAATCTCATATTTTCCTCAGTTAAAAATACAAATATACTTTTTTTTTCTCCCTTCAGTTTTGGATTTGTTGCTTTTGTTATCTGTGTGTATAATACTGCTTGGAATAGGGAATTTAATTTCAGCTTTGTTGCACTTGTCTAAAAGATGGTAAGTTCATGGAGTTCCATGAAAATAGAGATTGTTTTTTCTGAGGGTACCACAGAAGTGTAAAATAATTATTTGTATTTAAGCACCAATATTGCTATCAAACCTAATATTGAAAAATAAAAGTTCATTAAACTTTTTTTTTTTTTTCCTTTTCAGGTTTCCTCTCAAAAAACCTTCGAGGTGAGTGCCTGAAATTTGCTTTTTTTTATCTGTATTGTAAATTATGCTGCAGCATTATTGCAGGGGAAATGCCTTTAAAAGTTTAAAAAATATATATATATACAAACATAGCCTGTAGTAGCCATTACAGATGTGAGGAAATCAATATCCAGATGGGGATAAGGTGCCAAAAATAGAATTATTTGGTGTCCTTGGCATGGGGTGACATGGCTGGGGGCTCATCTTACCTGAGATTTGAGATGGTCAGGGGACACTGCTGGTACAGCATGTACAGGTGCTTCCCTTCTGGGCATATCCTAAATCTTTAATTTTGCCATGCTAAAATATTTAGAGTTTACTGGGAGACTTGAGATTTCAGGAGGGTTTTGTTTTTTTTTTTTTTTTCCATAAATTTTTTTGGCTTTTAAGATAAAATATGGGCTGATGCTGAGTGATAAAGAGAATTCCCTTGCTGTTCCCAATTCTGGAGGTTACCAGGACTGTTCTGGAACCTTGGATCCTCTCCCAGAGATTGCAGGGGAGATCATTTTCCCCTTTGAATTCAGCCTGGGAATCAATTTTTCAAGAGAACTCGATGCCTGGGTTTTAATCTGAATTTCTGGGGAGCAGGCAGAGCCGGGTGAGGTTTGTGGGAGCACTCAGGCAGCTCCTGTGGGCTCTGGGGTGAGGATTTTGTGCTTTTTCTGTGCCCCAGACACGGCAGCATTCTGAGCAGAGAGTCTCCAGCTGACAAGAAGCAGAAAGTTGAACGCTGCAGCAGCACCCACGACTTCGATCCCACAGGTAAAAAAAAATCCTAAAATTCAAGAGGAGAAAAAAAAAAAAAAAAAACCTAAAAAAAAACCCCCAACCAAAAGCGCTGGGATGCGGCATAAAAATGATTTTAATGTGGTTTTCAGAGCTGGGTTGTTCTGCAAAGGCAATGTGGGCATTGAAATGAATGTGGGCTTGGATTTTAAACACCCTCATCATCAACCTGGATTAGTGTATCAGTAAATAATTATAACAACTTCCACTTGCAGCAAAGTCAGGAGGCCAAGGCTGTAATTAGCTGTGAGTTCTTTAGTGAAGTCTGAAATTGGAGATGGGCTGCCTTTCCCTGCTGGGGGTTTAATTTTGGGGGGTTTGTTTTGTCCTTCAGTAGATTTTGATCCCTCTCTGCCACTTCCCAAGTGAATTTGTGCTTCCCAAGGTGATGCATTTGAAGATAAACACCTCATTTTAAAGGATTTGCCATCCTGCTTTTCTTTAGCTTATTTTCATTTTAGTTAAATTAGGGAAAGAGGGTGCACACAGGATTTTTGTTCTCTCTAAAACACTCACCCAGTGCCTGCTCATGAAATCCTGGCTGAGCCTCCTGGCCCCATGCAAGGTGCATTTTTCCTGTCTGTGTATTCAGGCTTTTCCCTGGGGCTTGGGGAGCACACCTTGTAGGATGGAGGTTTTTTTGTGCACAGGGCTGATGTTTCTGCCACTGGCTGCATGAGTCCTTCTAGTGTGCACAAAATAAATGAAAATGGGCTTTAAATGCCAGTTTAAAAAATTCCTGTAAAGGGAAAAAAAACCTGGTTTAGTGCTCATCTGCTTTTCTTTTGTCCTTTGGGATAGGTCATATAAAATGATTTCAGGTTGAGGGAGGTCTCAGGCTGTGAAGTCATTTTGTAGAAGGAATTTAATTTCTCCAGAAACAAACTCCAGGAATCCTGTAATCTTAATTTGCAGGAAGTCACTGCAGTGTTGAGAGCTGTTACCTGGTTTGTGCTCTGATAGGGGAGCTCTGCCCTGCAGCCTGCAGAAACCTTTTTGTTTTTGAGGGGTGAATTCAGGATGCTGAACTGCTGTGCCTGTGCTGGTTATTGACTCTGGGGACAAACAGAGTCTGTGTGCTTGGGCTGGTTTTTATCTGTGATTACTGCAGAGAGCTCCTTTGGTCGTGTCCTGGCTGTGTAACAGATTCTGTGTGCTGTTACCTGTGTCTCCATGTATTATTCACCCCTGTTCCAAGTGCTCCACCTGTGTTTTGTTCACATCTTATTTGTGTTTTGCACGATTTAACCCGATAAATCCAAGTCTGTGTTTTTTTGGTTTTTTTCCATGAAGTTTGTTTTTTGTTTTTTTTTTTTTTTCCTCATGTTTGGTCTCCATATTTTCTATATCTCTCTCTCCTTTTCTCCTGCTCTCGTGCAGATAGCTCCTCCAAGAAGACAAAGTCTAGTTCTGAGGAGAGTAAATCCGAGACGTATGGTAAGCCAAAGCTGCAGCTCCCCCTGGGCAGCTCCTGCTTTTCCTGTCTGTGAATCCCAGGCTTTTCCCCTCCCCTGATCTGCATGGTTGGCTCTGCAGCAGGGTCTGCCCCTTCCATCCTGCTTCAGTTCTCAGCTCCTAGTGTGCCGGTGCCTGGGACATGTTCAGTGTGGCACCTCTGGAGGTGTCACAGCGAGGACACGGCTCCCGCAGGGCTCTGTGCTTGTAGGAAAGTCTGTGCCACCTTCTCAGCGTGGAGGTTGGAGCAGGAAATTCCCCTCGCTGCCTTATTTGTAGGTGTTGGTTCCTTCTGACAGCAATGGAAAAATGGATCAGTGAATAATTGAGCTGAGTGTGAGGTGTGAACTTCCCTGTTCTCTGTCCCGGAGACAGGGAGTGACCCTGGGCTTGCTGGCTGCAATAAATGCCCCATGCCAAGCCTGGGCTGGGAGTATCCCCACACATCCTGGGGGTGTCCCTACACCTGTTTGTTCCCTCAGCCCCCCCAGCTGTGTCACTCCTGGGGCTGTGACACTCCCCTGCTCCAATGTCACTGCTCTGCCAGTCTCTGTAGATATCTGCATTCAGATCTTAGACTCTGGAAGGCACTAAGTATTCACAAGTTGGTTTTTTGGGTCCTCTCAGCATCCTCAGCCCCTTGGACTGGGGTTGAATGTGGCTGCATTTCTTATTTCCACGTGTGCATGTCTTGACTCCAGCCATGGGTTACCTTCCTTTTCCTTTACTGCCTTTTTTTTTTTTTTTAATTCATGTTTAAAACAATCTGTGACACTTTCTGATTTTAATCTGTTCAGAAAATTGCTGCTGCTAAACCTGCTGTGGGATTTTGGATGCAGTGACTCTTCCAGAATCATCAGCTTTATCATTCCACTGGAATAAAACTGCCAGGTGCTCATGGCTGTGCTCCAGCATACAAAGTGATGCTGTCAGAGCTAGAAACACTAAAAAATAACCAAACACCACCAACCCTGAAGAGTTTAAACCAACACAGGCATGTTAGAAAGAGCTGGTGCAGTCTGGGGAGGTGTGTCCTGTTCTTTCTGTGAGATCTCTTCACTTCCCCTGGAATTTTGAATCACACACTTTTTTTTTTTTTTTTTTTAAAAAAACAAACCTAAAGTAATATGATAGTCACGTTCCTCGGGGTGTGAGAGTGTTCCTTCAGAAGCTGTAAACAGCTTTGGAGGGTGCCTTGATGGAAACCTGTCTGGGGGAGAGCTGGCTTGCTGCAGCTTGTCATTCTTGTGCCACCCTCGCAGGGAAGGAGCAGGGGAAGGCTGGAGCAGCAGGGATTTGGGGGTGATTTTTGGGTTTTGAAGCCACGTTGGCCAGGAGACCCAGACCCCTGTGCTCAAGCTGCATTTCATGAAGGGCTGGAGGTGCTGTGGGTTAATGGCAGGAAAGGTTTGTTGGCTTTGCTGGGGCATCTCTGTGTTTATCCCCCTGCCCCAGCCTGGATTTTATTTTTATTTTTGTGCCAAGAGTAAACACAACTTGCCAAGGTGAGCTCTGACTTCCTGCAGGTGCTGTCTCTGTGCTCAGGATCCCTGGGAGCAGCTCCCACTCATCCTCCCTTTCCAGTGGCCTTGCCCTGCCTTTTGTCTGCTTTTCCCAGGTTTCTCTGGAATGTGTGCACAGCTCTGCTGTTTGCTTTGGAAGGGACCAAACTATTCCAAACCCTCCAAGTAGAAATACTGTACTGATATTTTCCTCACTGCTGACTGGATGGGGGCTGGCCACTGGAAAGGGAGGAATAGGGAAAGCTGGAATGACAGCAGGAAGAGGAGGTGTGGCTTTGGTGGCTGTTTGTTCTCACCTCTTGAAAGTTTGAATTCAGGAGCCAGAATTTCTTGAAGTGTGTGAGTGACTTAGGGGGGGCAGATTGGTCAGGGAGGGAAATTGTTCTAATGTACAGAAATGAATTTATAGTGGCATGAAGCTCTCAGTGAAGTATTTTCGTTCATAAACCCAACCATCTATGTTTGTATGTTCAACAAAATTCAGATTATCAGGAGAGAGAATGAGTGTCGTTTGTTGTGCTGTAATTTGCTAATTAGTGCCATGATCTCCCATGATATTTAATATCCTTTTCTCAGAGTAGCATTTTCATCTCTTAAATCAAGTCAAAACTGAAATTACCTTTTAGGGTGGTAGGTGAGGTATCAGTTTCTCTTTCCTTTGCTTCATAACTTAGTTGCTCTCCAAAAATATCTTCCTTTATATTTATCTTCCTTTATATTTAGCAATCATCAGTTTCTGGCCTAAATATTAGCCTGGACTTGACACAAACTCTTTCACATATTTTCTCCAACTTTGTGATAAGTTTTTGGTTTTTGTTTTGAAACCTCAGATTTGAGATGTTTTAAAATTGAAACTTAACTCTCCCCAGGGTTGTTTTGTTTTTGTTTTTTTTTTTTTGTTTTTTTTTTCAGTCCTTACCAGCTTTATGTCTTTATGTTGTGGCCACCATTTTTCCAGAGAAATTTGCCTTTATAAAAGTTCTGCTTGTCTTTGTGGAGCAGCATTTCTGACAATATTTTATAGAACAGAAAGCTTCCCAAATGAAGTGAAACATTTGGCCACTCTCAAAACCCCAAGGAGTTTTGGTTTGTTGTTTATGGAATGATTCATTTCGAATCCCTCTATTAAACTGCATTTTCCTCTGGTGGCCTCATGCCCCCGGGGGAGGTTTTAGTTCCCAAATCTCAGCTCTTGGGCTGTGTCCTGCAGATTTGGGAGATGGAATTCACATCCCATGGAATCCCAGGCTGGTTTGGATTGGAAGGATCCTTTAAAGATGATTTTGTTCCAACCATTCCATGGGCAGGGGCACCTTCCACTGGCCCAGCTTGCCCCAGCCCTGTCCATCCATCCACCCATCCTGGTCTCTCCTTTTCTCACTCAGCTTTTTAGACTGAAGCCCTGCTCTGTTTGTTACTCAAGAAATTCCCTAATTTGTTAAATAACTTCCAGATAGGATGTAGAGAAGAGGGAAAAAAAAAAAAATAAAAATTTGCTTCCCAGAGAAGCTGTTGGACAACCAGATGTGTCTGGCCAGGCTGTTTGAGACAATTATTTTGGCCTTGGGGTGTCAGTGACCTTGAGAAGTGCAGACTTTGCCCTTCCACCATCCCAAAGACTCTCTTGGAGCAGGGCTGGAGAAGGGAGAGGGACGAGTGCCACCTACTGAAGCTCCTCTCAGCTTTCCCTTGGAATTTTAACCTCTTTAACTCCAGCACAGGTTTGGCTGCTTTGTTGGACTCATGGATTGAGGCTGCACCAGTGGGTTTAGGGGAATTTTCATCTTCATGAGGATAAAAAAAAGATAAAAATGGATTCTTTTTCCTCCAGAATTTTCGGAATCCACTCAAGACACAAACAGAGACTGATTTTAAAGCACAGTTAAGTGATGTCTCCTCACTTCATAGCATAAAGATTCTGTTAAGGAAAGCGAAAGTGGGAATAAGATGATTATTGATTTAATTTTGAGTACTGTCAGTGGTGAATTCTGTTGGAAAAAGTGAAATTTCATGGTGGGATATTGCAAAGTGAGCAGAGCAAAAGCCCTTGAGGGGTGGTTGAGGCAGGGGATCCTGTCAGAGCTGATCTGCTTCTGCAGGTCACAGTGTTATCTCCAGGAGACTTGCAGATAACTTCAATAAAATCACTATAAAGTGGATCTCAGTCCAGTGTGGGATCTCCTCCACCTCATTCCAGCCTTTTATATTGGATTAGGAGAAGGGTCAAGTGTTTGTCCCTTATCTGAAGGAAACAAGTACAGGAAAGGGCAATTATGGGCTAATTTCAGGTCCAGTTGTCCTAATTTCAGTTTTTTCTCCCTTTTAAATTTACAAGGTGGTCTTGGGTGAAATTGAAGCTTGTGGGGTGAGAGAGTTTAACTTGGATAAACTTGAATTAAATTCAGTTACACTCTGCCAGGTCAGTTCATGTTGCATGGGCCCTGCTTTGGCATCTGGCTCATCCAAGGAGGAAATTTATCAATAAATGCAAGGATTTTTGCTTCTGGAGAAAAAGAAATCCAGTGGCAGAGCAGACTCAGGGCTCTGCTGTGGCTTTAAACAAGGCCAGTCCTGATGATTGAAAAGCTGAGTTTAGTGCCTTGCTCCTGGAGCTGCAAAGGAGCAATTTCTCTGAAATAGCAGCAGTTCCCACACCCCAGCCCCGGGCATCATTCTTGGGAAGTGAGACTTCAAGAAGCTTGGTCATATAAAAGAAGGGGAGGTGCAGGAGGGAGAGAAACCTTCCCTCACTTCTCATTGGGGTGAAAGGTTGGGGGATTTTCCTTCCATCCCTTCCCCAGCCCTGCAGGTGCCCAGGGATCCAGTGCTTTGCTCCTGCTTTGTTGGCAGGAGGGGAATTCCTGGGATGTGACAGTGCTGCAGAAATCCTGGAATATTTTTTGCACTGCTCCCACACCCGTTTTCATGGAGGAGAGCAGGACTGGCTGGGCAGGCAGTGTTGGCTCTTGAGGCTCCTCATTTCCATGGGGAGTTGCTGCAGAGAAGTGAAAAGGAGCCGTGGTGGTTTGGGAGCAGTGTGGGACACAGCAGTGACTCCTGCTCTGTTCCCATCCTTACCTTCCAGCTCATTCCAGTCTGGCTGGGGCAGCATCTTCCCAATTCCCATGTTCCCTCCCTACCAAACTCAACTGCTGCAGGTTTGGAATCTCATTTGGGAGAGCTCTGATTTCTTTCTCGAGGTGCCAGTGTAGGAATTTTGCCTGCTGTGCCTTCAGAAATGGAAAAGCAAAGCAAGCTGTTGGAAATAAGGGTGATGGAAATAAGAGAACATTGGAGGAGCATTTACAGAATTCCTGAAGTCACTTTTGAGGATGAGGGCTCTGTTGTGGGAGCTGCTCCTAGGAAAGTGCTTGGCAAAGAATATTCCAGGTTTGCTTTGTCTTTCCCTTGTTTCATTTCCAGGTGAACAAAAGACATCCCCAGCATTCCACCCGGTCCAAATGCTGCACCTACTAAATGAATTTATCTCTGCAACAGCATTTGTGTTCACATTATCCTGAGTGTACCAGGAAAGAAAACAAGTTGCCTTTGATGTGTCACAGCAAATTAAAGGAGGGGCACATTCAAACTCATCTCCTGGGATTTTGGCCCTGGACTGGTGTTTATTTCAGAAGTCCTGTTCAGGACAGTTCAACGTGGCTTGTACTTCCTCACCTCTGCTGTTCTGGCTCTGTGCAGTCTTTCACCTGGAGCAGAAGGTGCCCCAGGAGGAGATTTTGGCTGAGAATTGGGAGAACTTTTCCTGATCAATAAATCTGTTTTAGCCCAACCCCCTCATATTACTCTGAGGGATTTGTGCTTGTGTTTCAGAGCAGCTTGTGGAAGCTGTGAGGTGTTTGTGGTGCTGCAGCAGCACCTGACAGCCCTCTGAACGATTCATGCAGACCAAAGAAATCCTGCTCATTGGTGTGGGTACTGCTGCTCTCCTTTAAAAGCTGCTTTTCCCTCAGGTTGTGTCTCATGTGCCAGAGCTGTCTGCATCTCTGTTTCGTGTAGCTGGAGCAATAAGCTTGACCTGTCTTGACATCCCTCTCCATTTCTGGACTGCTGCCCTGTTCCTGTCTTCTCCCATATTTTCCCTGTGCTGTGTCGTCCCCGTTCCTCTGAGTGATTATGTGGGAGGATAAGGTTTTGGACTGATGCCTGGCTTGTGTCTCTTTGTGTTCCTCTGTTCCCTGTCCCCTGTGTCCCCAGGCCTGGTGCAGAGGTGTGTGGTGATCCAGAGGGATGAGAACGGCTTCGGGCTGACGGTCAGCGGGGACAACCCCGTCTTTGTGCAGTCTGTCAAGGAAGGTGAGAACATCCCCCAGACCTGCCAGCTCGCCATGGGCATCCTGGAAATGTGCATGGGCTGGAGCAGGAAACTCCCAAACTCCTCCCAGGTGGGCTGGCTGCAGCTTGGGAAGGGATGTGCAAGGTCAGGGTAGAGCTTGGAGGGGGGGGAATGCAGTGAATTTATTTCTGACAGAAGGAGAGGACACAGCCTTAAGCTGTGCCAGGGGAAGTTGAGGTTGGACATCAGGAAAAATTCTTCACTGGAAAAGTGATTGGGCACTGGAATCATCTGCCCAGGGAGGTGGTGGAGTCACCATCCCTGGAGGTGTTTAAAACAAGGCTGGACGTGGCTCTCAGTGCCATGGTTTGGTTGATGAGGATGTGTCAGGTCATGGGTTGGATTTGATGATCTCAGAGCTCTTTTCCAACCTGGTTCATTCTGTGATTCTGTGATCCCGAGGGTTTGGAGCTGACCCAGGGGGAGGAAATGACTCCTTAGGATGTGGTGGGATCATGTCCTGCTCTATCCAGTGCCAGGTGAAAGCAAAACTGCTCTAGACTCAGTACCCAGAGATTTGACTGACACAGGAAGCTTGGCTGAGTGCAGGAGTATTTTGCATGTTTTACACAAGTCTTAAAACCATTTTTGCTGGAAATGATTGTATTGAAAGGGGAACTGAGGGATTTCTTTCCTCTCCAGATGGAGCAGCCATGCGGGCTGGAGTGCAGACAGGTGATAGAATTATCAAGGTAAGGGCATTGAAATTGGGAGAGAAATGGATCCTCTGTTTTAAATGAGCTCTTTTCTCTGGAAAAAAATGGCATTGCTGTGCCTGCTGTGGTGTTTGCTTTAGGAATGGTCTAAGCTTCAGTGTTCTGGGCATGACTCTCCTCCAGATCCTCATTTCAGAATTTTATGGACAAATTCCACATCCTGCCAGCTTCAAGTATCACAAATAAAATAAAACCTGGATTGGCAGGGAAGAGAAGGAAAGCAGAGCTGTTAATAATGACCTGTAAATAACCAGCCTGCCTGAATTGTTCTTTTCTCCCTAACTGCTCCCACATCCACGTTCTTTTTTAGTCCCAAGCAAGTAAGAAATCAAGTCAGTAACTTAAAAGACTCTAAATGATTGCTGCAAAATGCTGCAGCAGCTCCTGACACAGATGGAGCTGGGATTTCAACCAGGCATTGAAATTAATGAATTAAATTAGCTACCCTGTTGTTTTTCTGCCCAGGCAGAGATGGATTGCCTTTTTTTTGTTTGTTTGTTTGTCCGCTTGCATGAGTTCTTCTGGTGTGTGCACAGTTTTTCTTTTTGCAGAGCTCTGCTCAATGAGATAAACTGTTAGAAGGATAAATAATTTATCTGGTAATGTCTTGAAAGAGGCAGTAATGGAGATGGGGGAGAAGAAAATGCTGCTGTTCTTCTGGTGCCTTTTGTGGAATGTGTGGAATTGCTTGGAAACCAGGAGGCAAACACTGAATTTTGTCCCCTCCCTGCCCAGGTGAACGGGACTCTGGTAACACACTCGAACCATTTGGAGGTGGTCAAGCTGATCAAGTGTAAGTAAAGGCAGGTGGCTCTTCTGTCACCTCTGAAGTGTGACAGGCATCATTTCCAGGGCCCTGTCAAGTGCCAAGGGTGAGGTGAATGCTGAGACATGAAGGGAGTGTGTGAAACAGGGAAGTGAAATTGAAATTATTTTGACATCCTGCATTGAAGCTGGATTGAATACATTCTCCTGGAGTTTCTCCTTAACCTGATGTTTGGATTTTCACCAAGCCTTGCCTGGGTGCTTTCCCATCTTTTATTTCCACCTTAAATACCACAGCTGGGCTGGCACTGCTGTGTGATGCCTGCACAGCACTACAGGAAATAGTTCCTGGTGCATTTTCTTGTATAAGGAAGGAGGTGGTGGTGGTTCCTTCCAGCCCGGTGTGATTTATTTTGTGTGTGTGCACTGGAAATGTGACCTGCTGGGCTGGAAATTGGATTGCCTGCTTTTCTAAGGGCTGATGGTCATGCAAGTTTTTGGAATATTTGAAATGTAAACAGATTTCTAAAGCAGGCAGTGCTCTCAGGTTTGGAGGAGGGATGCTGTGAGTTCAGTCTGCAGGGTGAGGGGAGCCATGGAGATGTCCCCATGAGTGTGACCTGTGCCTGTCCTTGTGTCCCCACAGCAGGTTCCTATGTAGCTCTCACTGTCCAGGGGCGCCCCCCAGGGTCGCCCCAGATTCCCTTGGCGGATTCTGACGTGGATCTGGCAGCTTTTGGGCATATGCCTCCCATCATGGCATCCCCCCACTCACCTGGCACGTCAGGGAATGCAGAGAGGATCACCAGCCCAGTGCTCATGGGGGTAAGCTTGGAAGCTCTCTCTCCAAAAGGAGAAATGGCCTGAATGGTTTTTTTTTCACTTCAAATTGGCAATGGAATATTTGTCCTGTAAGTGGGTATTTGTTCACTTAAGAAAAAGCATTCTGTGAGTAAAAATACCCAGTCCTGTCTGAGATAATAGAAATGCAGGGTTTTATACTGTCAATAGCTGTTCAAAATTAAGCAAGAATTGGAAATTTCAATTTCTTTTCATAGAGCTTTTGAGAGCCTGTTTTTAGGAAGTAGGTGAAAAATGTGCATGTCTGTTTTTGTTTTCCTTATCTGCTCAGCTCCCCCAACGAACCCAACCTTAATCTCTCTCTGTTTCCTAGGAGGAGAATAACATTGTCCACAACCAGAAGGTGGAGATTCTGAGGAAGATGCTCCAGAAGGAGCAGGAGAGGCTGCAGGTACTGGACTTGTGCAGCTTGGAGGGAGCTGGGGGAAATGATGCCAAGGGGAGCTGTTAAATCCCAATTTAGCAGCAGAGCTGTGTGGGGCAGAGTTTCTGTAGCAGCTCCTTGTGCAGATGTGCAGGTGTTGATGGAAAAGAGACAAACAATTGTTTTGCAGGTCCTGCAGGAGGAGTACAGCAGAACCCCCTCCACCCGTGGGCTCAAGGAGATCCAGGAGGCAAAGAAACACATTCCTCAGCTGCAGGAGCAGCTGTGCAAGGCCACGGGCTGCTCTCAGGTGACACAGGGCCAGCCGGGCTGGGCAGAGCCCCCAGGCACAGCCCTGGGGGTTAAAGATCTGCTGGGCAAGCTGGAGTTGCTCGGGCAGGCAGGCTGCACCCTCTAGAGCTGAGATTTGGAGTTGGCATTTTCATCTTCCTCGGGATTTTACAGCAGGCTCCCAGCTCACCTCTGAAAACCTGCTTTAAGAACAAGTGCAAGCAACGATGTGTTTATTATCTGTCAGTGCAACTTAAAATACACCCATGAAGTCATTCTTTGCTTTAAACAGTCTTGTTTTCATTTTTGTTTTTAAAAAAAAAAAAAGATAAACGTAGGCTGTATCATTTTTCCCTTTTCCCCTGTGTTGAAAGTGCTGAAGATTGGGTTGTTTGGGTTGAAAATGTGGTTGTTTCCTCTTAGAAAAACGGTGCAGCCATTTCTAGATAAATTGAGAAGGTTTTATGAGTAATGTGAGCTACCTGGCTTTGGAAAGGGTTGATGTTTAAGGAAATACTTGAAATACTCTGCTGTCTCCCAACCACTTCCCTCTTTGCAGGATGGAGTCCTGGCCCCCAGGTCTGTGTCAGAGTCCCTGCAGATCAGCGAGGGGGAGGCAGAGAGTGGGGACAGTGGCAGCAAACTGGATTTCAGTGGTGACAGCCCCTCCAGACCCAACAGTGACATTGCTGATGTGAGTCTGGGGCAGCCCCAGGGCTCTGCTTCTCTGCCTCTTGCATTTGGGTTTCCTTGGCAGGTTCTTCGTGTGTGTTGTCCTGTGCATTACTCCTCAGTGCCCACCAAAACCTTTTCCCTGTGAAAAACCTGTATTGGAGTGGTGTTAGAAGCTGGGAGAGAATAAATATTGGGGTTTTATCCAGGATTAGATTGTCCTGACATTAATCTCTGTAACCAGACAGAGAAAGATGGATGCAGCATCCTGCTCCAAACTCATTTGCCAATTAGAGCATCTTTGAAGGGAATATTCCAACTGCAGCATCATGACTCAGATCCAGGCAGCTTGCCCTGAAAATGAGGAAGAGCCTTGCTTCTACCAAATCAGCTTCAATTCCTGCCACCAGCAAAGGCTCTTGGTGTGTTCACTCATTAGTTACCCATCTGTGTGCTCCTGTGCTCTCCCTAATCCTTAATTAAGTCACTGATTAGTGCAGGGGAATTGAGACTCTCTGCTTGGATTTGGCCGAAGTTTGTTGATTAACTTAAGGATGTGAGAGCTAAATTTGGCTAAATTTGTGCCAGCAGTTGGAAGTGAAAGGGAGGTGGGTGAGATGGGAGCATCCACGACTCTGTTTTGAAACGTTTTAACTCCAAATCTGACCAGATCCCACTCAGTGTTTGTGTTTAATAAATGCACAACAAAATTCATAATAATCTTCCTAATAATCATCATCCTGTCAGCATTGGGGATGGTATTTGATCAGAGCAGGGGGATTGATTGGCACACCAAACATTCCAGTTTTTCCATCCAGCTCTGAGAAAATCTAGCTCAGGGGCTGAGTGGGAAGAGTTGTGCAGCTGGGACCAAGCCAGGCTGCAAAGCAGCAGCCTGAGCAGTAGCCTGGCTGGAAAAACCTTTGGACACACTGAAGATGAGCCAGCAGCACGTGGTTTTTGCAAATAAGGCTCTGCTGGGCTTCCTGAGCACGAGGATTGCTGGGAGAAGAGAGAGAAAAGGTGGAGAGAGCAAGGAGAAATCCAAGGGCTGGGGGATTTACAGCTCTGCAGTTATTCACTGTCACCAGATTTCTGACCAAAACTTCTGCATTCACTTGAGTTTTGGGATTTTTTTTTTTTGTTTAACTGTGCATGTAGGACACCGATTTTACTCTGGTTTTTCACACCTCCTTTTCCTGTGAGAAAGGAGAAGTTTTAGGCTCTTGTGGCTGGCAGACTGCACTGTGCAGTTCTCCCTTTCCTGGATTTGCTGGGACTTACCAGAACTGAACTTCCCTCTTTCCCAGAGTCCTCGCAGTGGCCTGAAGGAGAGAATTTATCCAGATGAGAGCCCAGAAAAGGCTGAGCTTCAAGATACTGTGAGTACAAAACACCAAGTGTCACAACAGCATCTCCTCCAACAGGCCCATTAAAATCTTGCTGCTTTCCCCCACTTTCTAAATGGAGCATGCCTGAACTTTGCTTTAGAAAATAAAATGCAATTAAAGTGGTGCAGGGAAAGTTAATTAGCTGAGTAAATGTTTATGGAGCTTAAGAGCAGGACCATTTAGTGGTGAGCAGTAAAACAGCTGGGCCTGGAATAAGGAGAGCACTTGCACATGTTTTATTCCTTGAGCCCAGCCTTTTTTTAGGATGCTCACTCATTTGGGGGCTGGCATTTCCAGCAGGGCTACAAGTGGAGCTCAGCAGGAAGGGCAGGGCTGTCTGAACACATCATCATCCTTGGGATGGCTCCTGAATTCTCCTTCCCCTCACCTGCCTGTCCTCCCAAAGGCACATTCCCCCCTCTGTGCAGAGCTGGCATTTGGCAGGTGCCACGTGCTTGGTGTGCTCCAAGGTGATGCAGCTGCTCTTGACCCACCTGGTTTGATGTTTGGGGATGTTTGGGAATGTTTGGATCCTATTTGGATCCTGTTGGAATACCTGGGAGAAGCTTTTGGGAGGAGGATCCAAGGTGGGGTTTTTGAAGAATTAAAATGATCAGAATTTCTCCAAGTTTTAGTGGGAGGGACAATCACAGCCCTGTGCTTTTCTTGCTTCTCTTCCCCAGGATTCCCAGTCCAGTGTTGGGAGTCCCCTGTCCCGAGTGGGGACTCAGATCATTGGAGCAGAGGATGATGATTTTGACACAGAGCAGGAGCAGGTGGGAATTACTTTTAACCTTTTTTCCCCCACCAACCAGAATTCTCTTCCCCTGTTTCTGCTGAGTATTTCTTGTATGGTGAAATAAGGATTTGGGAATGGGATTCCTGTTGTTGCTGATCTTTCCAAATAGAAACATTTGGGGAGTTTATGACAATATCCATCTTTGAGTCTGATATTTCTCTTTCTTCTCCAAACCTCAAGCTTTCTAGGAATTAATTTGCCTTATTTCATTTATTTTCGTTTTTCTTAAATCCTGAATTATTGTCACAGCAGCAGAGCTACTACATATTTACTCTTGAATTATTTTAGCTGTCCTCTCTCTTACTCCTGAACAATTGAGATGTAATTCCCTGTGTCCCTGCAGATTAATGGGCAGTGCAGCTGCTTCCAGAACATCGAGCTCCTGAAATCCCGCCCAGCTCACCTGGCTGTTCTCCTGCACCACGTGGTGTCCCAGTTTGATCCTGCAGCACTGGTGAGGAGCTCTGCAATTGTTCCCCTGCCTCACATTTGGGAATCTTCACCAGAATTTACCAGATCTTGTGTAGCACTCACTGCCATGACCTGGCAAGGAGGGAAATGCAGATCCTGAGGGTGATAAATCCTCATTTATCTCCTCAGATAAACGGAGGAACACAAAAAGAATTGTTTCTTTTAGATTTGGCTGCTTACAAATCATTATTTATCTCCTGAAAGCCTCTCATTCCACCCCAAGGTGTGGGATTAGTGGTGTCATTAGGGAAGGTTTGAGCTCTCTGTGCTCCCCTTCCAGCCCCTTCCCTCTCAGGGCAGCTCCCTGAAGAGCTGGCAAAGGTTTCAACCCAGCACTGCTGAATTCCTTGAAATACTGGAAAGAAAACTTGGAGTTTTCATGGTTTTCACCTCATTTCTTGCCCTGCTGTTCCCCACAGCTGTGCTACCTTTACACAGACCTGTACAAACAGACCAACTCCAAAGAGACCCGGCGTGTTTTCCTGGAGTTTTACCAGTTCTTCCTGGACAGAGCTGCAGTAGGTTCCACTTGTTTTCCTCATTTTCACACTCATCCAACAAGTTGACTTTGACCTTTCTCCACTCACCTGAGCTGTGAGAAACTAAGGGGATTAAAGCCCTCCAAAAGAAATAGTTTTAAAAATCAGAATCTGAATAATGCTTAATAAATAACTTCATAAAAGGTAATAATGTAATAAAAGTTCAAAGTATTTTTGTTGAAGTGTTAGCAGGAAAATGAATGGCTTCAGATGCCTGGTAACAAATCCCAAGGGATTTGTTGTAGATAGGAGAAATAATTTAGTGGTAGTTAAGCAAGTTCTGGCTCTTCTATGTTGCTTTTTAGTTAATAATTGCTGTGGGTATTGATGTGGCTGTTCCAGGGATTGGGAAATTTTATGTGTCTGTTAGAAAGCTGAGAAATTTCTTTGCTGTCATGAATTAAACTCCCAGAAACTGCAGCAGAGTTTCATATACCACATGCTCATCTTAAATAATCCTGTGAATTATAATATAATCATGGGAGTCTCCCCTATTCAAACCAGCTTAGATTGGATGATTTTGGCTTTTGAGGGAATTCCCTGGCAGGATTTGTGTGTTTTATTGGGGTGCTGGTTTCTCTGTTGGTTCTCCCAGCCTCTCTTTCCTTTTGCAGAACCTGAAAGTCCCAGTTCCAGATGAAATCTCCCTGGAATTAGGTAGGGTGCTGTGTTTGTGGGAGTGAAAGGCAGGGGGTGGCTTAATTCAGGGAAATACTTTATTGAAGTCATTTATTGAAGGTGAGGACTGTTCCCAGAGGAATAATTGATGAATTCTCTGCCTCTCAGACAGGAGAAGGCCAGAGCTGCTCCCTGAAGAGCTCCACCGCCAGTTCATCCAAACCATGCAGGATAAAGTCTGTCCAGAGGTCCAGAGGAACCTGGAAGATTTCAGGTACCAAAAGCTCTCTGTGGAGTTCCCATTTAATTCATATTTGATTTCAGTCAGTGTTCCAGCACGGGGAAACCTGAGGGATATAGAATTCCTCTTGGATTGGGTAGGAACACACCAGGAATATGCCCTGTGACCAATATTTAAATCAAGTCATCACTTAAAATCCTAGAGCTTGGATTCTTCATTCCTTGAAAGCTGTGTGAGGAAATGTCTGCTTTCTTTGGTGTTGTTATATAAATCTCTTACTGATAGTGTTTATAATCAGCTTGTATTTTATTTTTTCCTTCCCTGTCCCCTTTGGGCAGGGAATAATCCCCTTTGCAGAGCTGTCACAGGCACGGAGTAGAAGTTGATAATTAATTTGCTTTTTCACGTGGAGTCCTAAGACCCCCGTGCCAAGCTCAGTAACGAACCACCCCAATCCCTGCAATCCCTTCTGGGACTTGTGTGGGACACCCTGGAGTGTCCCAGGGCGGTTCCAGCTGCAGGTTGGGAATTTCCTGTGCCTTTGTGCAGGCAGAAGAGGAGCATGGGGCTGACCCTGGCCGAGGGGGAGCTGACCCGGCTGGACGCCGAGCGGCTCCGCGACCGCAACGCCGTGGAGAAGGAGAGGAGCTGTGCAGAGCAGATCCTGGCCAAAATCGAGGAGGTCCTGTAAGTCACAGCAAAGAGAAGGGTGGGGTAAAAAAAATAAAAAAAAAGTTAAAAAAATTAAAAAAAAAAAAAGTGATGATAAAGGTGTTATTTTATGTGGTTACTGCGCTAAAAAGGAGAGAGAAAGGACAGCAGCGCACACGGGGCTCTTTTGGGGAAAAAAGGCCAATTTATTGTACAGACAGCCCGGATTTAAAGTGTGTCAGTGCAGCCAGGACAGGACAGGAACTCATTGGACAATTGGGAAAAACATCCTCGGGACAGCACCTCAGGATGTGTCCCACGGGAAAGACACCAGGTGTTAATCTTTATTATGAATTCCACTCTGTTTGTCACCGTGTTGTCACCCTGGGAGACTCCTCCCTAACTGAAGCTGCAGTCAGCTTGTCAGCCTGGGAATGGAGCTGAGAGTCAGGAGAAATCCAGGCCTGGGAAGAATTTCCAAGCTGGAATTCCCTAAAGCTCTCTGAATGTGTGTGTCCACAATTTTATAATGCCTGAGGTGTGGGAAAAGCAGGATGAAGGGATTGGGGGGTGGAATTTGGCATTGCTGTGTTTAAGTTTCTGCCTGTGAGTGTTTGTTGGGGTAATGACAGGCAGGGCTCAGGCTGGAGGGAAGTGAAATTCTGTCCAGGAGGAATAGTGCAGGGAATGCTGCCATTGTCAGCCTGTGCATTATTAGATCAGAGCCCTTTTCCTGTAGGAACAACAGCTTCACAACCCATTTTCTCCTTTTTAATGTGGGCTGAATCCAATTTCCACAGCTGAACCTTTTGATTCTTTATTTTATTTTTTTTTTTCCCCTGCTGGGACTGCTGAACATTCTAAAGGACACTTTCAGCACAACTACTGATGCTGTGGGTGGGATGGGACCGGGTGTTAATTGAGTTTTGAGTTTCATTTTCAAACCCTTTGTTGTTTGTAGGATGACATCCCAGCCCCTGGAAGAAGACAAGAGGTAAAGGGAGCTGGGGCTGTGTGATGGAACACGACAGCCCTCTCCCGGCTGTTCTCCACACTCAGCTCCTGAATCCCCTGCCATCAATCGTTGCAATTTAGGGCAGCAGCCTCTTCTTTGCTCTTGTTTGTTGCCTGTGTTTCACATCTTAAAAATTACTGTCACTGAGAGATTGTGTTTATTCTTGTTTTGTGTTGTAACTGCTTCAATCTGCTCTAACATTTATTTTCTGTGTGTGCCTTGTCCTGTTCAGTTTTTATCTGAGCAGTTTTTCCTCCACTTTTTGCAGTAACCTTTTATTGCTGCTTATTTTTACCATAACTCAAAGCTATAATGTGACATCCAATATGGCTTTAGTGTAGAATTTTAGGACCTTCTGTGTAATTCTAAAAATTGTATTTTCACCTCCTGGGCTTCTGTGCCTTTTGTTATGGAATGATTTGGGTTGGAAGGGACCTTAAAGATGATTTAATTCCAGCTCCTGTCACAGGCAGGGACACCTTCCACTATCCCAGGCTGCTCCAAGCCCCATCCAGCCTGGCCTTGGGCATTTCCAGGGATCCAGGGGCAGCCACAGCTTGGGCCAGGGCCTCCCCATCCATATATTCCATCTTTATTCACTCCATAATTTACAAAAGGATAAATTCTGATGTTGGCTGAGCCTTCCCAATATCTGTAGGAATTCATTTCCGTTCATTTCCTCGCTTACTTTAATTTCAAAATGAATTTCTCAATAGAACCTGGACACTTGACCTTAATTTTATTGACTCAGTGTATTTCCCTGATATATTTCTGTTAAACCTCCGTGGTTTTGCTGGGTTTGGCAGCTCCACCATGCAATATGTGATCCTCACCTACATGAAGCACCTGGGAGTCAAAGTCAAGGAGCCTCGGAACCTGGAGCAGAAGAGGGGCAGGATTGGTTTCCTGCCAAAGATCAAGGTACTGCTGCATTTGTGTGCAATTCAAACCCCCAGTTTTGCAGGAAAAGATCAAAAATCCTGGTGGTTTTCCACTGTTCCAAGAGGATCTGGGATTGCTGAGCTGCACAGGCAGACCTAAGAGCTGAAATTAGGTTCTGCATCTGTTGGCAGATGCGAGATTTGGAAATAATTGGAATAATTTCCTTTATCCTTACCCCTGAATTCACCTTGTTTTTCACAGTTATTAAAACTCTGGGGGAGGAATGTTTCATAGAACACAACTTTGAAACACAGGAGGGTCTCATTAAAGCTGTTGCCTTGTTTACTTCAGTTCTTTCTGGAGAAATTTGCCCAAACCCTCCTGGTTTGTGATGCAGGAGAGCTCTTCTCCCTGCCACCCCCACTTTTCCAGTTATATAATGAATATTTCCACCAAAACTTCATCCCTGTGGGTGTGATCCCTTGTCTCCCACAGCATGGGGGTGTATCTGGTCACAGTAGCTACTTATTTTCATCAGCATTTCGGCTTCTTTTGAAATATTAAGAGAGTTTCAAGCAGCTCTGCACCAACTCTGGAAAGGTGAAACAGTTTGTGTCCTCTCCCTTCTGCAGCTTTAAGGAATTTATTAAAATCTCAGTAAACAGCTGGATTGGAAGCAGTGAGTGATGAGTTTTTGCTTTTCTTTACCTGCAGCAAAGCATCAAGAAAGAGAAAGAAGGAGAGGAGAAAGGGAAGAGGAGAGGCTTCCCCAACATTCTGGGGCCCCCCAGGAGGCCAAGCCGACACGACAGCAGTGCAAGTATGTCAGCCCAGGAAACCCTGAAAGGCACAGAAAATCCCTGCTGCCTTTAGCAATCCCTAATTCCTGCCAGGAAGGTCTGTTTCCCCCATCCCCCCTTCCTAAACCTCATCCCACCCATCCTGCTTTACCCAGTCCCAGTCCTCTGAACTTGGATCCCACTTCTCCCAGTTCCATTGGGAGAATTTGGACTCCACTTCTCCCAGTTCCCTTGGGAGAATTTGCACCCCACTTCTCCCAGTTCCATTGGGAGAATTTGGACTCCACTTCTCCCAATTCCCTTGGGAGAATTTGGACCCCACTTCTCCCAGTTCCATTGGGAGAATTTGGACTCCACTTCTCCCAATTCCCTTGGGAGAATTTGCGCCTCACTTCTCCCAATTCCCTTCCACCCCTGTCTCACCCTGAGGGGCTAGGGAATGGAATTTTGTGCTGGGATTGAGGCACTTTGGGGCAGGATTGAATGATTGATTTTCAGCAGGATTGAGTGATTCTAAACTTCCTGTTGTTGAAATCTGGTTTTGAAGACGCACAAACCTCTGCAATGCTGCTTCTCTCAGCACTGCAGAAGCCATTCCAGCAGCGTGATGATTGCCTGTGTTCAGTTGGCAGGGCCATGGAGATGCAGAAGCCCAGGCACCCCAAGCACTCGCCCACAGCCTCCTCTGTGAGCCCAGAGCCCCCCGAGTCCAGCAAGATGCGGCAGAGTGGCTCCTGCAGCGATGGCACAGATGCCCCTTACCCCCCTGCCAACCCCATGTCCCCCCTGGCCATGGGGCCCTTTGCCTCTCCAGAGGGCAGCAAGGACAGTGACACAGGTAGGGTGGCACCAGGAGTGGTTCAAGGTCGTGCTGTGAACAGGATGTGCAGAGCACTGATGCAACGAGCTGGGCCAATTAGGAAATGCTTTGATGTCATTAGAGCTGCTCTTGCTCACCTTAATGAGCTTTCCTCAATTAGGGAATGTTGCCACGAGCAGCAGTGGTTGTTAGTGGGTTCTGCCACGGTGGCATTGGATCATCCAACAGGAAAGACCCAGCAGGTGTCACCTGAAGCTTTTTGAGATTTCTTCTTACCAGCCTGGGAATCAAGTTCCTTCAGCTTTGAAGCTGGAATCGAGAGACTCTGCAGTTCTCTCATGTCCTCTGATCTGGTTCCTCACCTTTCCCATTTATCCTGTGTCCAGGTTTGAAGCAGCCTGGGGAAGCCCCACCTGCCAGTGACTCCATGGATGGCACCCCCCGCACACCCAACACCACCTTTGAGTTCCCTTCTCCCTTGGAAAACCTGCAGGAGGAGGAGGGAGAGTCAGAGAGGTAACTCTGGGTGCTTGAGGGAGCCTTGAGAGAGAGTCAGGAAGTCTTGGAATGGGTTGGAAAAGATCTTTGTAGAGAATCGTTTGTCAGTGTGAGAGTGGCTGTTGGAATTTAATACATAAAATTATAGTGATGTTTGTGTTAAATATTGTTGGTAGAATTAGGAAACTTTGATCTGTGCTGTGATGGAAAACTGTCAGGAGAGGGGACAGAATGCTCTGCTGGAGCTCAGACCAGGGTTCTGAAGTTGTGCTGAGTGTCTGAGCAGGGACAAAATCAGGGACAAGCTTCTCTAACCATTTCCTTCCTTCCTTGCAGGATGGTTGACATGGGAACACCAAAGCCTTTTCGCAAGTGAGTGTGCTTAGAAATGTTTGAACTTGACTGAATGTGTTTGGATTTCAAGAGGTTATAAAGCAGAATGCAGCAGTGCTCATTGTTCTGAGCCAGCACAGTTGTCTGCATGATCTTTTTTCTTTAAGAACACATGAAATCAGACACTGGCAGCCATTTGTGGGGCAGGTGGAGTGAGTTATATGCAGAAAAACCCCTTTGATCTGTGAGTGGATTGCTGTATCCACTGATTCGAATGGATGGGAGTTGGGTTAGGGAGTTACAGATATCCCTGTTTTCCTTTTCAACCTGTGTTGCTGTTGGTTCTGTACCTGCAGATAAACAGAGGCAAGAAACTGTAACCTGTCCTTTTCACTGCCTTGATACCTCACTGCAAATGGTTTGATCTGTGTCATTAAAAGGAGGATTATGAAAACACTCTCAGAACAGGCAGTCCCTCTGTAAAGGGCAAAATTAGTGAATGTGCCCAGAGGTTCAGGATCAAACAGGCTCCAGCTGGCAGGGACAGTGTATTCATAAAGCTGATTTATGTACTCAGCTTTTCCTTGAAATGGGAATTAGCTCACATTTTCTCTCCTCCCATCAGGATGGACAGTGTTGGCTTTGCAGATGTGCAGAGTGAGGATGAGCTCTATGACTTTGACATGGACATGGACCCTCCCAACTGGCAGCAGCTCGTGAGCAGGGAGGTGCTCATGGGGCTCAAACCCTACGAAATCAAGCGTCAAGAAGTGATAAATGGTGAGATGGAGGTTCTCTCTTACCTGGCCAAGCTCAGAGTTGAAACCTTCCCCTGGAGCTTTGAAATTCTTAAAATTTACAATTAGGTTTTTCTTCACTGGTTTTGTGAAGTAGTGGCTGGAGAATTGTAGAACTTTTGGTTTGAAGAGTTCTTAGGTGTGAAACCCGTGCTTGTTCCTGGGAAATAACCTGAGGTGAGATTGCTCCAGTCCTTAGAGGAGAAACAAGCAATACCAAGTGATTATTAAACAACATTAAGGCACTGAAAGGCACGTTTTTAATATGTTCTGTAAAAGAAAACAAGAAAAGCTTGGATTTTTTTGGAAAGCAGGTGGTGGAAATGCAACTCCCAAACTTGAGCAGATTTGAGCTGCAGCTCCTGCAGAAGTCTCTGCGTGGATTTGTGAGCTCAGAGCTCGCCGTTGGTTTGGGGTAGACGATGGAATTTTACAAACAATTGAAACATGGAATTGCAGCAGAGGCTGGAATATGGACCAGGGAGGGAGATGCTGCTGAGGGACCCGTTCTGAGCTCACCTCTGGCCCCTCATTTGCCATGGTGCTTTGCCTGTCTCCCCAGAGCTCTTCTACACGGAGCGAGCCCACGTGCGCACGCTGAAGGTCCTGCACAACGTCTTCTACCAGAGGGTCACCAGGGAGGGCATCCTCAGCTCCAGTGACAAGAGGAAAATCTTCTCCAACCTGGAGGATATCCTTGGGCTGCATGGTAGGAGCAGCTGGACTCTGGAATTCTGGCTTCCAGTGGCTGAAAAATTGAAGCAAAGGGACCCTGGAGCACGATGTTGAGATAAAGCAGAATTCCTCAGGGCGCTGCCCTGGGTCTGCTTTTGCTCAGCCTTGTTCCATTTCTGATTCACAAAGATATTTTGATAAGGAATCATGTGTCCAGTGCTCCTTTTCCTTCTCTGTGTTGATTCATGCTGATAAAAGGAGTAATGAGATTTATGTGCCAGCATTTGAGATGGCACAACTGTTCCTGAAGAGAGCAGAAAACAGGTTTATAAAGATTGATGCCTGCTTGTTTCTAAGGGTGGCTCTTCCTCCTTGTTTAGGGAAAGGACTGCTCACAACAGGAATTTCAGCCATTGAATAATCAGCTGTGTGGTTTTATGGCTTCTGCATTATTCCTGTTTATAGAAAAATTATATTGAGGCTCTAAAAAGATAAGTTTGGAATGGTTCTCAGGGGTCATTTGAAGACAGGTGAGATATGAATGCAAAGGAGTTGCATCACATTTTATTAGATAGTCTAAATTTATGAAGTTGCAGGATATTATTTATTAGCTAATTAAAATGATTTCAAATCTAATCTCCTAGAATAGCTTTTATGTTAAATGCTGAAAATTAAGGCAGCAGTTTGACCACTATTAATAAAATCTGCTTTTTTTTCCTTGTTCTTAAGTTGCACTGAACGATCAGATGAAATCTGTCCGAAAAAGGAACGAGACTTCTGTCATTGGCCAAATTGGGGAAGATTTGCTCTCCTGGGTAAAATTCTTTAAATATTTCTTATATTTGAAAATAATGTGTCATAGAATGACCAATAGAGGCAGAGGTTGGAGGAGGTAATTCCCAGCAATGGGAGCTGAAGGGCTGGGAGTTCTGGAGCCAAAACAAAGCTGGAGGAGGAGAGGGGAAAGAAAGCAAGAAGAACTCAGAGGATTTTCATCTGACTGGAGAGAGGAGTCATTTAAGGCACAGGAATAATTTCCTTGGGATGTGTGGGTGGAATAGAAAGGTACTTTTGGGTACATAAAGGTGAGAGTGGGATTTTGAGAAATGTAGTGGCACGATTTATTTCAGTAACACTGAAATGTGAGTTTGGTGTTGCCTCTGGTGCAGTTAAAAGATGGTTAAAAATACTGATTTCTAATCTTAGAATGTATAAATGTGGAGTTTATAGTGCTGCTGCAGGCTTCACTTTTGAGATCCTGATGGGAAGATTTGGCTGCCCCATCCCTGGAAGTGTTCAGGGATGTTTTGGGACAGTGGAAGGTGTCCCTGCCCATGATGGGAATGAGCTTTAAAATCCCTTTCAACCCAAACCAGCCTGGGATTCTGTGATGTGGGAGGGGTGGATTCAGGAGAACTGAAGAGTTTGAGATGCAAAGGTCTCCTCTGGGAAGACAAAGGCTTAAACCAGGGCAGAAATGACTCCTCGTTTTTGTCAATAATTCCTTTGTTCCCTGGTGAGCCCAGTCCCGGGTGCCTCGTGCTGAGCTCCAGCCTGTCTAAACTTGGCTTTTTTGGTTTCCTGGCACAGTTTAGTGGAGCAGCAGAGGAGAAGCTGAAACTTGCCACTGCCACCTTCTGCAGCAACCAGCCCTTTGCTCTCGAGGTCATCAAGTCCCGTCAGAAGAAGGACTCGCGCTTCCAGACCTTCGTGCAGGTGAGTTTGCCACAGGCTCTGAGGTTTTCACCAGGCTTTGAGTTTTCTCCCCCAAACTCTCTGAGTTTTCTCCCCCAGACTCTCTGAGTTTTCTCCACCAGACTTTCAGTTTTCTCCCCCAGGCTCTTTGAGTTTTTTCCCCCCAGACTCTTCGAGTTTTGTCCCCCAGACTCTTCGAGTTTTCTCCCCTAAGCTCTTTGAGTCTTTTCCCCTAGGCTCTTTGAGTTTTCTCCCCCAGACTCTTTGAGTTTTTTCCCCCCAGACTCTTCGAGTTTTGTCCACCAGACTCTTTGAGTTTTCTCCCCTAGGCTCTTTGAGTGTTCTCCACCAGGCTCTGAGTTTTTTCCCCTAAGCTCTGAGTTTTCTCCACCATGGTTTGAGGTTGCCTCAGCACATCCCAGTGATATCCTAGATAAAGTTCTGATAATCAATGATATTAATTAATGACATCATGCCTAATGCTGCCTCCATCTGGGGATCATTTCCAGCCCTGTCTTTATCTCTCCTGGTGGTTTCTGGAGGGAGGAGCCCTCAGCTGTGGGGAGCACAGAGTGTCCTGATGGAATGCAGGGCAGCACACGGTGTCCCAGGCACGAGATGCCACCTCTCTGGAGGTGGCTGCTGCCCAAGGATGCCAAAATGTGTGGGGCAGAGTGCTCAGAGTGCCAGGGGCAGGAGACAGATGCTGCACAGCTGCTGTGCCTGCCAGGAGTGGGGTTTGGCTCCATGTGGCACTTGCAGGAGAACATTATCTCCATTAGCACCGGCTGGGAGGGGCTCTGCGAGAACAAGGGGAGATTATCTTGACAAATGTCCCGTGTTTTGCTGCGGTGTGAAAACCCAAAGTGATGCTTTCCCTGGGTGCTGCTGACTGAGATTGATTGGGGATGGGCCCGTGCCCATGGGGAGTAATGAGGGGAGGAAGGCACTGCTGCTGTGATGAGCTTTTTCCTCTGGGTAATTGCAGATGGAGAGGGGATGTGTTGTCTGGGTGATAGATCTTGGCATCTCTTGTCTTGTATTTAATTACTGGAAAGTGAAGTAATAGATGTTTAAGTGATGAATAGATGTTGTGCATTCAGGTAATTATGGCCTTAATAAAAATGACAAATGCAGATATTGTGGTGTTGAAATTTAGGATGCTGAGAGCAATCCCCTGTGCCGGAGGCTGCAGCTCAAGGATATCATCCCCACAGAGATGCAGAGGTTGACTAAATACCCCCTTCTGCTGGATAACATTGCTAAATACACAGGTAAAGCCTTTCCTCTGGGGTTTGGGCACCCACCTCAGCAGGTTTTTTTAGCTAAATGTGTTAAATAACACTTTGATTTTACCTGTCTCTCTCTGTTTTCTTTGCGACCTCACTGCTGCCTTCTGCACAGGAGGTGTAAAAATAATAATAAAAATAAAAATCCAGTGTTTGTTCCTCCTTGGGAAAATAAAAAGGAAATTCAGTGTGAAATAAGTGAATCTGTCAAACCTCTAAAGCAGCACGGAGTGTCCTCATGCTCTTGCAGAGGGTGGGTTTAATTAGGAAGTGTTACACTGCAAGATACTTTCAGCACAACAGGTAAAAATGTGATAAATAATAGCACAAAATGCCTTCCCAGCTTTACTATCTGATACCTGCTGCAGAGTAATTTCATTACTCATAAAAATAGACTGCAGCTACAAGTTCCCTCTAATCCTAATTAGGAAAGCATGTGATACTCCATTATCTTTGATGTACTGGTTTATGTTCCTGTTAACTGAATTCTCAGTGTGGCTGCTGGTGCTGGTGAGGATTGATGGGTTCACCTGTGCCTGTACTCTTAGTAAGGATTTGAAGTTTCTCAGATTATTGTGAATAGTTGTCACAAGGCCCTCAAAAAGGGAGAGTAACAATTGGATTGTGTGTAACGATCTGCAGGTCACAATGAATTCTCTCCTGTCACAAATCTCATTTTTATCACTTTTGCAGAGCAGTGCTTTAGTTGATGGACTTCTCTGTGAGTTTAACTCCTCTTTGTCTGATGTGAGGTCAGCAAGCTGCACTGGAGGGCTGACAGGTCACACCTTTGGTCCCACTTGGTTTTATTCTTGCAGAGCTGCCCGAGGAGAAGGAGAAAGTCAAGAAAGCAGCAGATCACTGTCGCCAGATCCTCAACCACGTGAACCAGGCTGTGAAAGAGTCAGAGAACAAGCAGGTGGGAGGGGCAGAGTGAGCATGCAGGGCTGGGGGCAGCAGTGAAACCTGCAAACCTGCGGCAGTTCTGCTGCTCCAAGTGATCACGTGCTTGCATTTCCTGCAGCATTTGGAGGATTATCAGCGGCGGCTCGACCTCTCCTACCTGAAGCAGTCAGAGGATCCCATGATGGATGAGTTCAGGGTGAGTGACACCATTAAAAACCAGCCCTGTGTGAATTGAGTTTACAGCCCTGTCCTTCACTTGCTGCTTCTTGTGATGCACGGTCAAGTGGTCTTTGGAGATAAATATTTCTGTGTGAAAATCAAAGCAATTAGTCTCAGAAATGTGAGTTTTGCCACCTTCCTGAAGATTTCCGTGGCTCTAACAGCCCAGTTCTGCACATCGTGGTGCTGATGAAGCTTGTCAGCTCTGTGCAACAAACCTTTATGGGCTGCAAGCTCAAGCACTGTATCCCAGAAGAGATATCTGATGGGTAATGAGATTATTGTGGATATTTATCTCATGTGAGTGCATGTCTTAGTGATGCTGTTGGAACTGGGGAGGCCTTGGAGAGCCCTGATGTGTAACAGTGGAATTGGCTTTAAAAGGAGAGCTTGTACAAAAACGTGGGAGATCCACACAGCCAAGTAAAGCCTGAAGTCCAGTATTAAAAATATTCTGTTTCCTGGCTCCTGTAAATCCCTGCAGTTCTGTTGGAAGCTGGTTACCTGCTGGTTGCTTCCCCACCTCCCTCAAAGTCAGTGTGAATAAAAAAAAAATTAAAAAAAAATAAATATATATATATATATATTCTATAAAACTGTGCCATTTTTCCTGCCCCAAATAAACCTGCAAGCTTTCAGTGAGGAAAGGAAGAACTTCCTGGCAGCTACAAAATCTCGCTGTCACTGATTGTAGACTCTGAGACTTGGAAGGGATGAATTGTGAAAATTGTCACTTCTGCTTGCCTGCAGATCTAAATGTCACAAGCACTGAAGTGCCTGAAGAATCCATTGACATTACAAGTCCTGTCAGATCATTGGGATGATTTGTAAATAATTTGTAGGCACACTTGACTTGCAAATCGAGTGCTGCAGCATTAATCAGCTGTGATGCTGGAACTGAATATGGGCTATTGGAAAAACTCCTGCTAGCAAACAGGTGACATCCTGATGCCTCAGGAGCTTGACTTGGTGGGAGAATTCCCCACCCTGTGGCACTTGGCATGTGGAAAAGAGCAGTGGAAATGTGATAAGCAGCATCTCTGCAAGATTTTGGGTTCCCTGCTGTGTTTCTTTTCCCAGCCTGGGTTTAGTGTTTTACTTTAAACTGGAGTCCCTTTGGCATCCCTGTGTTTTATCATGACTTGCTTCTGTAGAAATTTATTTTTTTTTTCTTTCCCCTGGTGACAGAACCTGGATCTAACAAAAAGAAAAATGCTCCATGAAGGGCCCCTGACCTGGAAAGTGAATCGTGACAAAACCATCGGTGAGTCTGGGCCACCCCCTCACTGCCCTGCCTCTGGGTGAGTTTGCTGGGAGGAAGAGGAGGGAAAAGCTCTGCTGCAGCTCCCCAATTATGCTTCTTACTGCCACCTCTAATAATGCCTGTGTGCTTCTCCGAGCTGATTAAATTATTCTTGTCAATTCTGAAATGTGCTGGAGCATCATTAGGGCCACGCAGGGACACAGCAGTCAGTCCTGAGCTGATCCAACTCCATCTGTAGCTTTCTGCTGGAGTTTTCACGGGGAAGATTTGCAAGCTTTGCCTGGGATGGCACAGCACTGATTGCTGCCTCTGCATGAGTAATCAGAAATGCAGCTTTCTGCTTTCTGATGGGAATCTTTTAACTCGTTCTGGGCTTTTCTGCACTCTGGGCAGATCTGTACACCCTGCTGCTGGAGGACATCCTGGTGCTGCTGCAGAAACAAGATGACAAACTGGTGCTGAAGTGCCACAGCAAGATCCTGGCGTCCACAGCTGACAGCAAACACACCTTCAGCCCCATCATCAAACTCAACACTGTGCTGGTTCGCCAGGTGGCCACAGGTCAGTGCAGCCCACTGAGAAAGCAAAAAGAGAAGCCAAAAATAAAGATTAGCTCAGTTGAGGAAGATGATTTTGTGTAGATTTGCAGAGTAGAACATGGGAAACTGTGTGGGCTTAATTCTTGGTTGTCCAACATTGTGCTTAGTATGGATGAGCTGTTTAACTTCTTTGCATCAGTAATAGGCATTGCTTGAGTTTTAAATAGACTTCTAAATGAAAGTACTCTGATTGTGTTAGAGAAAAAGCACTCTGGAAAGTATTAGCAGGGAAAAGAGGAGAAATGGAGCTTTTTAAAATGGATTGAGATGGGTTTTTTCCTTTGAGGGCACATTTCTTTGATAGGACAAGGTCAGTGTGTCTGTATCAGCATTAGAGAGTTCTCTCATGGACTTTCTCCTTGCTTTGGGCTGGGGTTATGGCTCACTGTAGGAGTTTTTTGGGAGGCTCTGTGGGACCTTTGGCAGCTGTTTCAGTGCTCCCTTCCCTGTGTTGGTGCAGATAACAAAGCTTTCTTCGTCATCTCCATGTCAGCAACGGGGGCTCACATCTACGAGCTGGTGGCACAGACAGTCTCTGAGAAGAATGTGTAAGTCCTGGGGCCAGTCCCTGCTGCTGCTGGGGTTGTTGGACCTGAGAGACAGCAGGTTTTTTTGGTTTTTTTTTACCCCATGAATTCCCTGACTTCCTTCTCCAAACTTAGCTGGAAACCTGGTGGTCTCTGCAGGAAGCATCCACGGGTAGTCCCTCCCAACTGGCTCACTCCAGACTCTTTCCTGACCTCCAAAATGCTTTTATTTACCCTTAAAAAATCTGATTTCTTGGGCCTGACTGCTAGATCAGACACAGAAATCATCCTTGCATCTTCATGCAGCACCAGAGATCTTTTCAGATTTACATTCTGGCGTCATAAACACCCCAGTGCAGGAACTGGATTCCATGGCTAAAAGCTTTATTGGGAGAAACTCTTTTCTCCTGAAGAATACAAAGGGAGAGATGTGTTTGTGGGACACATGACTGTTGTTGCATGTGTTACACTCCAGTGATGTGTGAAATAATGCATTTTAATGTATTTATATATCAATTAACTGGTTGATCTGACAAGTGATAAGGTCCTGTCTGTCATTTCTCTCTGCTGAAGAGATCCAGGTGGGCTGAGCTTTGTGCTGTGCTGATTTCAGGGTGTTCCTGGGGGGACTGAATGTAACAGAACTTTTAAAAAAAAAACAAACCCAAAACCACAATAATAGTATCAACTGGATTTAAGAGGATTAAACAGAGAAATTCTGTTTCACTTCTGCATGGTTTTATTTGGTGTTTCTGCTGCAGCTGGCAGGACCTTATAGCTCAGATGGCAGGAACTGTGAAGATGGGGAGCAGCAGGAGAGTGATCCCACTGCCTCAGTCAGGCCCTGGCGAGTAAGTCAAAGCTGCAGGAAGGAGAAAAGCTGCTTTTTCTTTCTCCAGCACCCCTTTTCCTGCTCAAAACGTGCCCTCCAAAGCATGGATCCTCCTGCAGATCAACGTGACTGAAAGGATGTGTTTGTTCTTCCCTCCCTGCAGAGAGGAGCGTGAAGAAGAGGAGCAGCAGAAGCTCAAAGAGCAGCATGACATTCCTGCCAGCAGCCTGCAAAGTCCAGGTGAAACAGGGATTGAGGGAGCTGGGAGCTGGAGATTTGCTCCACAAGGTGCAGATGTGCCCAGCCATATTCCTGGGGTTGGGGATCCTAGGGCAGCTTGGAGATTTTTTCCTGGGAAGGAATGGTTTCTTTACAAGTCATTCAGAGAAGTGGTGCTGAACTTCTTGGAAATTCGTCTTTTACTATTTCCATCTGATTCATAAACTGCTGGGAGAGTCATTTTTTTAACCCTGGAAAGAACTGCCCTTTTACCAAAGCCACACTCAAGAATTTTTTAGCGTTTCCAGGGTGGAATTTTCTGCAGTTTTATCATCGTCGCTTCACCTGAATTTTTGTTTTCTGCCTTCTAGATAAAGACTTGGGCCTGGAGTCTCCCTTAATACTGAACCCTCAGTCCTCTTCACCCATCATGTCAGAAAAGGCCAAGGTGGAAGGGCTGCTGGGGGCTGAGGGGCAGTTTGAGAAGGTGCAGCAGGCAGAGCTGGCACTGAAGGACTCCTCTGCCTGCTATGAGCACCCAGCCAGCAGCTCAGCCTCGGTGCCAGAGGGGCAGTGGGCACAGGATGCCCTGAGGAACTGTGAGTACCCCGTGCCCCTGGGGTGGCATTTGGGGTGGCATTTGGGGTGGGATTTGTTCCAACAGCCCATTTCCATTCATTGTCCACTCCCCCTGTGCCCGTTTCACACAGGATGGATCTGGCAGCGAGTTCTGGATCCATGCACTGCCCCTTGTCTGGGCTTTAGGCATCTCCTTGGTTTTCTGGGTTTTATGTATCAAAGGAGGGTGATAACAAATTTTTACCATCCATGGAGTGCTTTGATGGCAAAATTCTGTTGCAGAGCTTAGTGCAAATTGCTGGTCAGCAGTTTTTAAAGACAAGGCAGTCAGCCCTGCACTTGCTTCCACAGCACTGGAGCAGAACTGGAGATGTTGCTTGTGTTGCAGAATACAATTTTCCTTTTTTTTTATTGTTAAGTTCACTTATATCCAAAGCCCAGGCTCAGATTTCCTGAGTGCCTGAGAGGTGGTTGGGTCTAATTAGATCAACACTTGTGTGTGTTGAGAAGTTTTCCTGATGGACAGGTCATTGTTTGAAATTGTTTTTAAAGTTTTTAATCACTTCCTCTGCTCTCCTTTCAAAGGAGGAATGCAGGGCTCTGCAACCTGCTGGATCAGCTCTGGCACTGCAACTCCTAAATAGAACTCCCTAAAATTTGAATGAATTAATTAATTAATCCACAGATCTCTCCTTGGCAGCTCTGGAAGGGACACAAAGTCCCTCACTTGTACTTGGAGGGAAGAGTCTGTGGAATATTTGCTTTTACCAAAATGCAGAACTCTCACATCCTTGGCCCCAGTTGCCTCTTCCATCTCTCTGTCCAAGCAAGGACAGTTCTCTGCAGTCTCAGAGTTCTCAGATCTTTAAATCCATTTATTCTCCTTCTTTAGAGGATTTAAAGTTCTTTTCTAGTTCTGGATATTGGACAGATATTTTTGGTACTTGTTTTAAGAGACCACAGCTAAAATAATCTTGGTCTGGGGGTGTGTAAGGACAGTTTTAGTGACCCTACAGCCTCTCCTGAGTGTTGGGAGTTAAAAGAGCAGCTCTCCAACATTGTGACAAGAGGCTGAGCTGAGTGACAGCTCTGCTGTGTGACATCACAGCTTTTTTTGGGTGTTGCAAGAGCATTTTGTGGTGAGGAGGAACAATCTGAGCCTCTTGACAGCAGCACGTTTTTGTTTGGAACAATATGTCCCTATTATGAAGTGTTTGGTTGGGATAATTTGGGAACTAAAGGAATGTGGGTTGAAGTTCAACCAGGCATAAATTTGCATCGAATTTTAGGGAAAACGTTTCTTAGATTTTTTTTTTTTTTTTTTTTTTTTTTTTTTTTGCTCTGTCATTTCAAACCTGAGTGGAATATTCCCAATTTCCTTGAGGTGGGAATCCCCTGCTATAACCACAGCTCCTTTGCAGGGTGAAACCCAGGCACTCAGGGTAATTTCTGGAGACAATTTCTTTGCTTTTCTGCAAGGAGATGCAACATGTCCTGACATATTGTAAGGTGAAACAGGGGAGTGAGGCTGGAGCCTTTAATACGTTTATTTTTATCCCTGTTTTTCCCACCAAGAGCAAGGAGAGGAGTCACACCTCTGTCTGAGGGTGACCTTTGTGTCTGCTTTAATCCCTTCTGTGCCCTCTGAGCGTTGCCTGCATTTGTCAGGTGCCATTAGTGCAAGAGCAGGATTTTCAGATATTCTCACAGAAACAGAGATTTTGGGCGAGCAGAAAGGGAGGTGATGACCTCACACAATATCCTGAGCTTGTGAGGAGCCAGAAGCGTCACTGAGTGCAGGTCCTGCCCATCCCATGCTGGAATTTTTGCCTGTCCTTGCAGTGGGGCTGCTGCGGCAGCTCTTGGTGCAGCAGCTCGGCGTGGCTGACAAGGCGACCCTGGAGGACAGACAGCGCTCGCCCCGCTTCAGAACCGTGTCCCAGGAAGCCCAGACAGAGAGTGGCCCGGAGCTGCAGCCCTGTGACAACAAACTGCAGCATCGCGGCCACCACAGGAGCCTTGGCAGAGCCGCGGAGCCCGCGGCTGGGCACGGACTGCAGGGCCCGGGGGACGCCACGCCGGGCACCGAGCCCGCTGCCAGGGCCGGGTTGCCCATGGACAGCATGAACGTGGAGGGCTCCAGCTCGGAGCTGGAGGGGCTGGGGGCCGACGAGAGCGGGGAGCATTTCTTCGATGCTCGGGAGGCTCACAGCGATGAGAACGCCGGCGAGAGCGAGCTGCTGCACGGCAAGGACGACGAGGAGGTGCAAATTCGGATCTCAGGTGAGATCACTCGGGGCCGGCTCCGCTTTGCACTTGACCTTCAGCTCAGCTCCCAGCTCTCAGCAGGTCGTTTTAGCCCCGTGCAAACTCAGGCCTGGTGAATTCTTCATGGTTAATTCTTGGTGAAATGCTGTGGGGGACGCAGCCTATGCCACACTGGAATTGCAGAGGCACCAGGCACAAGCCAAGCCCTCCATTGTGCCTGTCCTGCACCATTTTATCTCTTTACTGCCCATAGGGACAAAAGATTTTCCCTGCAGACAAAGCACTTTTTAAAGCCCTTTTCCTGAGCAAGCTTCAGGAAAGAAACTGAAGACATTAATTTTACACTGTAATAGTTTCCTGTAACCTTACCACACTCTGAACCTCTTAAAAGTTTATGATTTTATTATTTTTAGTGTTATTTTGCACAGGGACTATTTGACAGCTATCTGAGCACACCAAACTCAGCACAGAAGCTGGGGTTTATCTCATTTTGTAGTAGAAGCAGCTGCTACCAGGTGAATTCAACACTAACAGCCCCACAGAAGTCTCTTATCCATAAATATTCTCTTATGTAAAAATTGGATTATATCCACGTGCATAAGCCAATTTGTGACTGCCCCGATGCTGCTTTCCAATTATATATTGCAAATAATTTTTTTCGCTGAGACATATTAAATTATTAAAACTGAGCCAACAACTTGAAGCATCTAATTTATTTGTCACCTCTTCCACTGTTTACTTTTTTAACTGTATGAGGACATCAAAATGAGATTGATCTGTTTTCAGTCAGTTCTGAGTCCTCTGGGCTGGCTTTGCTGTAGTATTCCAGAGAAATTCATTAAATAAACTCCTATTGCTGGGTGCAGGTTGTGAAAGCATTTTCTGGCTGGAATTATTTTTAACATATCAGCAAGTTCTGTTTTAAACCTCACCCATCTAAAAGCATCCTCAGTGCCAAGGCTGGGGAGTGGAGTTTGGGAATCCAGCATCTGGATTTGTCAGGTGCCATTAGTGCAAGAGCAGGATTTTCAGATATTATCATAGAAACAGATTTTGGGTAAACAGGAAGGGAGGTGATGAGCTCACAGAATATCCTGAGCTGGAGAGGAGCCAGAAGGATCACTGAGTCCAAGTCCTGTCCATTTAATTATGAGGTTTATTTTAATGTACAGGGTAAAAACCATCCCTGATCTCTGAGCCTATTCAGAACCAGCTGAGTCTGATACCACCACTAATCTTTGGAGTTTTCACAAATGGGTTTTCTCAGGAGCTGGCTTGTGGGACATCCCCACTTCTGTCTCTAAAAATTTGCTCAAACACCCCTCCCTCAGCCCTGAAGCTTTTTGGGGATTCTCGAGTCAAACCCCCCAGCCCTGAAGCTTTTTGGGGATGGTTGTATCAACCCCCCCCAGCCCTGAAGCTTTTTGGGGATGGTTGGATCAAACCCCCCAGCCCTGAGGCTTTTTGGGGATGGTCGGATCAAACCCCCCAGCCCTGAAGCTTTTTGGGGATGGTCGGATCAAACCCCCCAGCCCTGAAGCTTTTTGGGGATGCTCGAGTCAAACCCCGTTGTCTCCGCAGGAAATTATTTGATCCTTGACGGATACGGAACAGTTCAGGAGAGCTCCACGGACGAGGAGGTGTCAGCCCTGGTCCTGCAGTGCACCTCCCACAGCAGACCCCCCCTGGACTGTCCCCAGCAGCAGCAGCAGCCCCTGTCCCCAAGGGACACCCGCTCGGACGGGGACAGCTCCCCGTTCCCCGAGGAGCTGCTGGGCTCACGCTGGCCGGGGCTGGAGGAGCCCTGTCCCTTCCTGGGCAGCCCCCAGCTGCCTCTGCAGATCCGAGTGCAGCTCATGCAGTACATCCACAACATCCAGGATGCCCTGGAAAAGCTAAAGGTGTGTTGCTTTTGTTGTTGTTGTTGTTTTTATTGTTGTTTTATTGTTACTGCGCGTAGAAGGTTTGATCGTCACCTGAGCGTTCGACCGTTTCTATACCTGTGAAGTTTTGGGTGTGAAAAAAAAAGCTTTAAAACAATTTTGATGGGCAAGATCACAGGCACGTTTCTCTTTTATCTCTGCCTCTTACTCCTGGAAGCCTTCCCAAAGCAGAATTTTTGGGTTTTTGCTGTTTTGTTTGCCTTGAGTTGTGGATCACGACAGGCCAGTATTTCTGCTGGAGTGGAGGGCTCTTCATTGCTTTGATTTTGATCTGGAGAAATTTCGGAGGGATAGGACAAGCCTGTAAAAAGGGAATTTTCAACAAGACACTGGCCTGAGGCATGTGAATTCCTGAAAAAGATTAGGGAGAGGTTCTTCACAGAGACTTGGGAGGGTTGGAGTGCCCATCCCTGGAGGTGTTCAAGGACAGACTGGATGTGGCACTTGGTGACAAGGTGATTTTGGGACTTAGGTTGGACTCAAAGGTCTCAAAGATCTTTTCCAGCCTTGGGGATTCTGTGAAATCTCTCCTGTGCTGCTGCTCTTGGTGTCAGATGAAGATGCTGAGTTGCACCAAGGATATCAGACCAATAATGAGCTTTTCAGGTTCTATATATTCCAAATGATTTTTGCCTGGGATGGGGATTCTCTTTATGGAATAACTATAGAAGGTTTGATGTGTGAAACATCCAATAACCAGCTTTTAATTTCACTGAAATCAGAATATTGAATGCAAATCAAGCTGCTGATGAAGGAGTCGAGGGAGCTCACTCCAACCTGGATGTTTGCAGCAGTGAAACTTCTCTTTTCCTGTTTGAACCCCTCTTTGTTTGCTTGGTAAATGGAGAGGCAGTTGAGTTTTGGGGCTGCTGTTGTTGTTTTGCAGGAGGTTGAGGAGGATTACAGCGTTCTGCGACGCCAGGGGCTGGCTGGCTCAGCCTCCACAGGAGAGCACTCAGGTAGGAGCACCCCAGAATCAAACCCAGAGCACAAAATCCCAGTTTTTGAGGTGATGCTCTTTGGAACTTACCTAAAACCAGACAAAATTAAGAGAATAAAAGCATTTCTGTTTATTGAAGGGCCTTCAGGTACATTTAGGGCAGACAAACCAAAATGGACAATGGGGCACGGGTTTGCACACTTTGATAAGTTTGGGCCATTTGCATTTTGGGGGTTCATCTTCCAATTCCAGCTCCAGGTAATGAAGTCATTTACCCCAAGTTTGCTGCCCCCAACTCCCTTTTGTTTCCATCTCTCAGGCCTGAGGCAGTGAGGTGTCCTTGATTGCCAGGCCTGGAGAGGAATTGTTGTGTGTGCCCCAAATGGGAGAGCAGCAGCTCACACTGGAGATGGAGTTTAGAGTTCTGCACTAAAGAACTGCAGGGTTACAAATGGATGAAAAATAGAAAAGCTAAAATCCTAAGGCATCAGGGATCCAACTGGCCAGAAAAGATTTCTACTCATTTTTAATGAAATATGAGTGGGCTGGAAAAACCTGGCAAGCAGGAAGGTGGAATTGGTGAGCAGGCTGGGATTTTAACTGGAAATGAGTTGGTTCCAGCTGCCCCACACCTTCATCCCAGGGGGAAGCTTCTCCTGCAGAGTGATGGGAATCCCCCAGGGATCCCCCTGAGATGCTGAGCCTGCCTCTGCTCTCCCTGGGATGGCCCTGGGGCCCTGCAGGTGGAATTGCTGAGCTGACAAAGGTGTGGAGGTGGAATGGGAGTGAAGCTCTCCCTGCACAGCTCTGCCTGGAGGAGTGCTCAGAAATGCCCCACACTCATCTTTTCCCTTTTTTTTTTTTTTTTTCTCTCCTCCTTCAGACAAAAGCTAGTCGTGTTTCCAGGAGTGGCTGAAGATTGGATGTAGAGAATCAGGACTCAGCACCCGCTGTCTCCCCTGTGGACTCTGGGACGAGGGTTTGGAGCATCCAAACAGGAACCATTCTCTAGCAAAGTGGGCATGGGGTGCTTTTCCTGTGGGGCATCTGCACTATCTTGTCAGTGAGGGAGTCTATTCTATTCTGCTCCTCTCCTTGCTACCAGAAATTATTTTTTTTTTTTTCAGAAGAGGAAAAAAAAAAAAAAAAACCAAACCAAATGTACAGAGCTTTGGGTGTAGGATATAAAAAAAAATGTATTTAGACATTTAAAAGAAAAAAAAAATCAATGTATTTATTTGACTTCATTCCGTGTATCAAAAGCACATTTTAATTTTTTAATCTGCCTTTTTTTTTTTTTTTGTTCTGTTTTTGGGTAGTGACAGTTCTGGCCCCCTGCATGTGGCCCACCCTGCCTGGTGAGGGGACAGGGGGGACCTGAGTGCAGGTGTTTCCTCACTGGACTGGACTCTGCACTCCCTGCTGGCACTCAGACTACCAAGAGCTACTCATGAAGGTGTTAGGATGGAATTTATGGCTGGAATTTGTCTGTATCCAACCAACTGCATGGGAATTGCTCATGTCACCACGTGTGCAACAGGAATTTTCCATGCACTAAACAGCCAGGCACTTGAGATGGGCAAATTTTCCTTTTCCCCTTTCCCATTCCTTTGCTGGGAGAGGAGAAAGAGGTTGAATTTTGTTTTTTTTTTTTCCTTGACTTTGTTGGCTTTGATCATTGTCTCCTTTGTAAAGTGATAAAAATACTTGGACCTGCAGCACTTTTGTAACTCTTCTCTGGATCAAAAAAAAAAAAAAAAAAAAAAAAAAAAAAAAAAAAAATC